ACACATTCCTCCAGCCAGATATCTCAAGTATGCGCTGCGGTTTGACTTCAACTCTTACCTGCAAGAGGCTGAGACATACAGTCGAAAGCGTGCAGGTTTGGTAATGATTTCAACATGGTTTCATTCCCTCTGTTTAAGAAGATCAGACCTGGGTTAAATTGTTTCGCATACCTTTTAGGGCAATGCAGCGAGAAATTCAAGCAGTTTGAAGAAAAAATTCCAAATAAATATGCATGATTGTGTGAAAATCCCAAACTACTGATACACCAATTAAAAATAAATTTAAAAATTATTTCCAACTGTTATTTGATGTATTAGTTGTTTATCTCCTGAGAAAACTCTCAGATGCATGTTAGAGACTTGTGAGAAATGCTTGTCTCTTCCCCCAGAGACACTGCAGTTTTTTCAGATCAAAGCAACTGATTTTAGATACGACAGGGCTGAGTGGATGTCTGCGCTATGAAACATACATGACAGGATTACAAGAGAGAGTTCTTCCTTGAGTAAAAGAAATTTTGATGACTGCAAAAAAAAAATGTTTTAGGTGGAGGTGGAGAGATAAATTGATAATGTTTAATTTCACTCCAGTAAAGTTAGATGAGCTCAAGATTGTTCTGAGCCAGAGGCAGGACACATTTCTAGAATAAAAATCAAGTTATCCAGCTTTTACTCTCAAAAAAAGACCCCATCTTGTTTTTGCAGACTTGTACAGCCGTGTACATCATTAAGTGCATGAACTAGACAGTTACAAAATGATGTGCAGACAAAGTAGAACTAAGAAGAAGTTTGGTTAAAAGGGGCAGTACCGTTTTTTAATGTGCAGTGAATTGCCTGCTCTGAGTTTGAGAGAGTGCTAAAAGTTTAGGATGCCATTAAGATAAGGTCACTGTGACCGCAGGTGACTGTGGATTAGCCTATTGCTCATATAAAATTAACAACCTGTATTTAGCTTTTACAGCATGCACTCGGTCTTACCTCCTAAATCTTTTCTGTCTTTCTTGAGAAAGTCTCCAAAAACAATATCAGTCCAATTTAAATTAAAATGTTTGTTTTTTTGTGGTGTAATTTCTTCTTGATAGATGTGATGCTCTCTGTAAGACACAGACACAAAACAGTTGGAGCAACCAATTAATTTGACCAGCAGGGTCTGCACAATGTCTTAAGACTCAGGAGGTGTGCCTCTCAGCTCCTCTCTGACCTCTGGTTACCCAGGAAAACCTTGGCATATACACCAAGACATTTACATACATACTCTCAGTACTTTTGTAGCTTCTACCTGAATCTCTGTGGTTTGGAGTTTAGCTTCAGTCCTGTGTTTCCGTTTTTACTGTCCGATATCAACCTTATTTTGCTGTTAACTGATCACTCTCAGCTGCACTGGAGCTGTGTTAAAATAATCCTGATGCAAACCAACTCTTCCTGCTGTTGCTGCTTCACAATAAAAGCTTTCCATTGGCAAACCAGAAGGGTGCTTTTATTGTGAAGAAGTTATAGGAAAT